ATGCTTAGATTTCTTTCATTTTTGGTGTACGTTAAGAAGACTTCCAGCAAGCGTGCGTGAGCGTGTTAGGTAGGAGTGAATGGAGACGAATGGTATTTGGGACCTGACGATCAGTTGGAGTGTGAGCAGGGTAATATTTAGTGAAGGGATTCAGGGAAACCGGTTATTTTTATATAGTCGGACTTGAGTCCTGGAAATGGGAAGTACAATGCCTGCACTTCAAAGAAGTGGTTTGGGATATTGGCAGTTTGGAGGGGTATGTTGTGTATCTTTATATGTGTATGCTTCCATACTGTTGTGTTCTGAGCACCTCTGCAAAAACAGTGATAATGTGTGAGTGTGGTGAAAGTGTTGAATGATGATGAAAATGTTCTTTTTGGGGATTTTCTTTCTTTTTTGGGTCACCCTGCCTCGGTGGGAGACGGCCGACTTTTTGAAAAAAAAAAAAAAAAAGAAGTTAAGAAGCATCTTTCCATCATACATTGCCCAGGTTTCAATAAGATAGTCCAACAAACAACTGAGATACAATTCCCGAGATCAAGCTCAAGAGCCCCTCACCAGTGTCTATGAACCTGCCATGAGGTCTGCTCACTTGTGGAAATTTTGCTCACGTATGGAAGCAAAAAATCGACCCATCGACTGCTCGTATTTAGAAAAACTTGCACGTGGACACGCTCTCAACTAGAGGTTCCACTGTATACAAATTTTTCTTAATCCTTTTGCTGTCGACACCCCTGTTCACAAACTTGCTCTCAGTGTCGAAGTATTTAAAAAAAAAAAATCTCATGAAATGATAGAGAATCTTTTCCTGATGGTAACAAAACCAAAAGTATGAAATTTGATAGAAAACTTATGGAATTACGCTCTCGTGAAGTAGAGAATCTTTTCCTGATGGTAACGAAACCAAAAGTATGAAATTTGATAGAAAACTTATGGAATTACGCTCTCGTGAAGTTAGTGATCTCGGCAGTATTTACGCATTGGCAATTTTACCCACCTTGAGCCCTATTTTCGGCCAATTCCATTGTTCGATTTGACTAAAATCATAGCTATTTTGCTAGAACTCATTTTGCTCTATTGATTTAGTACAAGAAATCACCCATATGCCAATTTCAACCTCCCGATAAAGTAGTAAGAAATTGGTATTTTGGCCAATTTGATAATTTGGCAATTCAGGGAATACCAATTTAAAAATATGGCCCAGAATTAACAATGCAAACATTCCTAGCATTAAAATAACATTTTCTCTGTTCATTAGTCACGTCTCTTAAATTATGCTTGCTTTCCATTTTGTATTTTTATTTGCACCAAAAATAGAAGATTTACTTTTATGCAGACAACATTATTGTATAACTGGTATAAATAATATCAGCGCATTTGTGAAAGCATGTTAGATCCACCAGTTGACGTGTATTGGACGCTTAATGTGATTTGTTTACTCTTGAACATCGGCAAAAATCAAACATTTCCACTACTTTGAGCTCAATTTCAATGTAATTTTGGTCTGTAAACCATCCAGAATCATCTCTATATTTGTGATGTATCTTTTGTAATATATCTTTGGAACCTGACGAGCTGTTGGAGTGTGAGCAGGGCAATATTTAGTGAAGGGATTCAGGGAAACTGGTTATTTTTATATAGCTGGACTCGAGTACTGGAAATGGGAAGTACAGTGGACCCTCGTTTTTCGTAATTCGTTCCAGAGAGAGTGACTATTATCGAAATTGACAATTTGCAAATCCATTTTCCCCATAAGAAATAATGTAAATCCAATTAATTTGTTCCAGACACCCAGAAGTATAAAAAAAAAAATTTTTTTTTTACCTTAATCCTTTGAGGGTCGCCAGGCCCTCTCAGAGACTTGTTCTCAGGATCGCCAAAATATAAAAAAAAAAAAATTTTTTCTTGTGAAAAGATAGAGAATCTTTTCCCGATCATAATAACACCAAAAGTATGAAATTTGATGGTAAACATACGGAATTATGCTCTCGCGAATTTAGCGGTCTCGATGATGACGCATCGGCGATTTTGTCCACTTTGAGCCCTATTTTCGGCCAATTCCAGTGTACTAGTCGACAGAAATCATAACTATTTCGCTAGAACTCTGTTTTTTCTATCGAATGAGTGCAAGAAACCACCCATTTACTGATTTAAACTATCCAATAAAGTGGTCAGAATTTAGCAGTTTTGCCAATTTCACACAAATTTCAAAAGATGCCAATTTCCAAATAGGGTCCAGAATAAATAAGAAAGACATTCCTGGCACTAAAATAACATTTCCTCTGTTCATTAGTCACATCCCCATGCCCCTCTTACATTTCTTTTGCTTTCCACTTTGAATTTTTATTCTCACAAAAAATAGAAGATTTACTGTTATGCAGACTACTGTATTAGTGTAGAAATGCTATAAGTAATACCAGCGCACTCGTGAAAGAACATTAGATTCACCAGTTGACGTGTTTTGGACGTGTGGCATGATTTGTTAACTTTCGAACTTTGGCAAAAATCGAACATTTTTGCTACTTTGAGCTCAATTTCAAGGTACTTTTCATTGTGAAACCAATCAAAATCATCTCAATTTCTGTAATATGTCTTCCATTCTATAAAATGAGACCAGGAAAACTAGAATACAACCATAAATACCATACGAAAATACAGTGCAAAGTCGCTGTTTTAAACCAAAAACACGGTCAAAGTTTATTTTTTCTCATTACGCACTGTGTGCTGCAGGATTCTTTTTTATACTGCGCACACTGACCACATAGACCCAGTCATTCTTTCATATGTAGGCCTACCAGCTTTCTCTTGCTAGATTTGAGGGTGCTAGAATTTATGCGTACTAGTACATCAAAAGCCCTGGCGTGTAAGCCGTACTAGTACAGCCGAAACCCAGAAAGGATTAAAGCTAGATTTACATGCACAATAGAATGAACATTCAACATGACAGTTACCTTTATTGAAGGCTGTTGTTGATGAATGAAAGACTGAGGAGGAGAGAGGGAAGAGAGGTTATTGTTTGGAAGGATGAATTCCCCTCCATGAGGACTAGGTCACTTCAGGGGTCACTTCCCTAGCTTAAATATAGATTTACCTGCAGAAAAGAATGCCAGATAAATGTAAAGCACAAATAAAATGTATAAATGAACATTTAACATCACACTTTCCTCTATTGAAGACTCTTGATGTATGGCAGACGAGGCAGAGGGAGGGGAGGCGAGGCGAGTTTATTGTTGAAGAATATGACGCTAATATCAACTCTACGGCTTATTTATCTATCACAATTCAACTAATATGACATAATAAACAATATTAGTAACATAGAAACATGGAATATACTTTAGAATGAATAAAATAAGTCATTATGTATGTCACGAGAGGTGTTGTGTTGTTGTTGGGTGTATAAGGGCCACTGTGAGCATAAGCCGTCCATAATGGTGGTGAAGCAGCAGCTGAGGTGGCGGTGTTTTCTGTAGCCCTATATAACTCCAACAACATTGGAGGAGTTAGTAGAATTGCTGAATCACTGAAGAAGACACCTTCTACCACCATCACAACCACTACTGCCCTCTACCACCATCACTACTACCCTCTACCACTATCACAACTGCTACCACTCACAACTGCTACCACCATCACTACCACTATCACAAATTCTACCATCATCACTACCACTATCACAACTTCTACCACCATCAGTACCACCCTCTACCACCATCACTACCACTATCACAACTTCTACCACCCTCAGTAACCACCCCTCTACCACCATCACTACCACCCTCTACCACCATCACTATCACAACTTCTCCATACCACCATCAGTACCACCCTCTACCACCATCAGTACCACCATCACTACCACCATCACTACCACCATCACTACCACCATCACTACCACCCTCTACCACCCCTACCACCCTCTACCACCATCACTGCTACCACCACTCTACCACCATCACTACCACCCTCTACCACCATCACTACCACCCTTACCACCATCACAATTGCTAACACATACCGCCTCCACTAAGCTCCACCACATTCGTTTTTTCTTCAACTTATTCTGTAAATTTAATGTTCTCTACATTCTTTACCAAAGGCTGGCACTAAAGCTTTCTTTGGAGCCATGTTTGGGCTTATTTAGCAGTTGCAAGCATTAAAATGAATGGAATATTATGAAATGTATCATAGGAACTCGTGGGATCATCCTCGCTTACTGATAAACAATGGCACTGCCTGGGAAGGGAGTGTGAGTGGGGTCTGGGGCTGTGCAATTTGCGTCTAGACAAACTACTGTTGCGAGTCCAAACACGCGATTTGTTTAGTCAATGTTTATGACAAAAATGTTACGGTTTTCGAAAATTACAACTTTCGAGCCTTACGAACAACGAGGGTCCACTGTATAATGCCTGCACTTTGGGGGAGGGGTTTGGGATGTTGGCAGTTTGGAGGGATACGTTGCATATCTTTATACGTATATGCTTCTAAACTGTTGTGCTCTGGGCACTTCTGCAAAAGCAGTGATTGTGTATGAGTGAGGTGAAAGTGTTGAATGATATGAAAGTATTTTCTTTTTGGGTCACCCTGCCTCGGTGGGAAATGGGCAGCTTGTTAAAAAAGAATGAAAGAATTTTTTTTATCAAACGAGACCAAGGAAAAAAGAATATATTCATAAATGTGATGGGAAAATACATCTCAGTCACTGTTTTAAACAAAAAACATGGAGTTGTTTTTTTCTTATGCACTGCGTGCTGCAGGATTTTTTTTATACTGCTCACTGACCACTCACTCATTCTGTCATGTGTAGGCCAACCAGCTTTCTCCCACAAGATTGGAAGCTACTAGAATTTTGGCGTATTGCGGGACTGATACTGGCTTGCAAGCCATAATATTAACGGGACTGACAGTGAAAGGGTTAAATGTTGTTACTGGTAAGGTATTGGAAGCCTAATATCAGATTTTGCTTCAAAGCATCTAAAGCTAATTTATTTCTGTTTTAGGGGTGGTTCAAAGCGTGGGTCGGCGGAGACTCGCATATATGTATCTAATATTCCCTATGAGTACAAGTGGCAAGATTTAAAGGATCTTTTCCGTAAAGAAGGTAAATTTCTACTTTATTATTGTCTTCAATTTAAGTGATGTTTGGAGAATTTCAGATTTGTGTATTAGGGAACTGTTCAGAGCTACTTTTTCCCCATAAGCTACTAATTGAATTTTCTGAAGTTTTATTGTGCACTGTATCAGGGCTCTTGGTTTATCTTAAATGGATAAGTAATGATTTTGAGATCACCTTTCCAGATGTTTTGTAAATTGTCTTATTTTCATAACCAATTAAAATTTTGATATGAAATCAAGCACATTTAACTTTTATGGTCTGTGTTGTTATAACAGTCAGTTATTAACCATGTGGTTAATAGTAAGAGGGGTAAAAATTATGTAGTTGTCAAACCAGTGCTTTCCTGTAGATTTTGTAAGTAACTTATCTAGCTTCATTTGGTGGAGGTTGGTAGACAGGAAAGTGAAAAGATTTGTGCCTTAGCAGAATTGCTGGTCATTTCTTTGTCTTGTGAATATGTAAGGTGACAGGTAATATGGGAAAACTAGTGTTTTTCCATTGTTAGACAAAGGATTAATAGACAAGTGGGATAGGAGTATTCAAGTGGGGTAGCGGGAGTTATCATAAGGGGGAGGCACATTCAGTTGCTTTTCCTGCCACAAGGGCTTGTCGTGGAGTAGTTTTGTTGTCATTCTTCTAGTTAATTATATGCTATTAGTGAGCTACCACCTAGTCTAAGATTGTAGTTTAGACAGATAAAATAAAATAATAATCTGACCATGTTGTGAAAGTAACAAATTGTGTAAGGTTGTACTAGAAATGAACTGGCACCCATGCAGTTTGAAATCCACCTTTTACAGGTTGGTATACCATGGACTAGCAGTTGCAAGGGTGCCAGGCTGGGCCTTCAGTACACCCTAAATGAAAATGTTAGTTAAACCTTCCGAGCTTTTACTTAGGCTCACTACATACCTGTCATTATTGTTGTATGCGCTCTGAAAGGCCTTTATGTAAATGATGGTTAAAATTATTACAATGGTCTTTATCTTAATGCTTTTTTATTTTTTAGTAAATTATTGTATGCTGCATTTATTTTAGACATTTCAAGCAAATTACTGAAAAAATATTGTTTTAATATGGTAACATTTTGGCTTGATTTCTGCATGCTACTTTGTTCAGCAAGTGTCCATTGGGTGATATCCATTGCATCAAAATTGTGAAACTGATTTTCCATGATTGTAACAGTGTTCAGTTGCACAGTGCAGTGGTCTTGGTCCAATGAATGGTGGGCTTAACAGTTACTCACGGGGCCATACTAAGCAAATGCTTGTTGTAATAGATTTGGTCCATTGTATGAGGGAGCCTACAGGACACTTAACCCCTTGACTGTCGCAACCCCAAATCCTGAGGTGTCTACTGGTGTCGCAAAATTTAAAAAATATATAATTTTTTCTTATGAAATGACAGGGAATCTTTTCCCGATTGTAATGGCACCAAAAGAATGAAATTTGCTGGAAAACTGACGGAATTACGCTCTTGCGAAGTTAGCGACCTCGGTGATATTTACAAATAGACGATTTCACCCACTTTGAGCCCTATTTTTGGCTAATTCCATTGTTCCAGTCGACCAAACTCGGCTATTTCTTTAGAACTCCATCTTTTCTATCAATTGAGTACAAGAAACTGCCCATTTACCCATTTCAACTACCCAATAACATGTCAGAAATTTGCAATTTGGCCAATTTCACGAAAATTAAAAAATATGACAATTTCAAAATAGGGTCCAGAATGAACAATGCAGACATTCCTGGCTCTAAAATAACATTTTCTTTGTTTATCAGTCAAGTTTCCAGGCCCCTCTGATATTACTCTTGCATTCTATTTTGAATTTTTATTCAAAAAATAGAAGATATACTGTTATGCAGACCTGCAATATTGTAATACATAATTGTATAAATACTGTCAACCCATTCATAACTGCATATTAGAATGGCTACTTGAACATTTATTAGAAAATGACATCATTTGTTTACTTTTGAGCATCGGCAAAAATCAAACATTTTCCCTACTTTGAGCTCCATTTCAAGGTTCTTTTCATAGTAAAACCAATCAAAATCACCTCTCTTTCTATAATATGTTTTCCGTTCTATCAAATGAGACCAAGAAAACGAGACTAGAACCATAAATACCATACGAAAATAGACCACAAATTCAGCATTTTAATTAAAAAAAATAGTCTTGAGTTTTTTTTCTCATTATGCACTGCGTGTTGCAGGATTTTTTTTATATGGTGCGCACCGACCACAGACCCATTCTCTCACATGTGGTCCTACCAGCTTTCTCCTGCTTGATTTGAAGCCGCTAGAATTTATATACATGTATATGTCAAAAACGGTGGCTCGTAAAACGTATATATACGACCAAAACAGTCAAAGGGTTAAGAACAAATGTGCCCTTAAACAGGACATCTCCACTGCCTCCAACCGTCTCGTCGCTGCTGCATTTACCACCCAAGCTTCACACCCATATAAGAGTGTTGGTACTACTAGACTTTCATACATTCCCTTCTTTGCCTCCATAGATAACGTTTTTTGACTCCACATATACCTCAATGCACCACTCACCTTTCTTCCCTCATCAATTCTATGATTAACCTCATCCTTCATAAATCCATCCGCCGACACGTCAACTCCCAAGTATCTGAAAACACTTACTTCTTCCATACTCCTCCCCAATTTGATATCCAATTTTTCTTTATCTAAATCATTTGATACCCTCATCACCTTACTCTTTTCTATGTTCAATTTCAACTTTCTACCTTTACACACATTCCCAAACTCATCCACTAACCTTTGCAATTTTTCTTTAGAATCTCCCATAAGCACAGTATCATCAGCAAAAAGTAACTGTGTTAATTCCCATTTTGAATTTGATTCCCCATAATTTAATCCCACCCCTGTCCTGAACACCCTATCATTTAGTTGTTTTACAACCCCATCTATAAATATATTAAACAACCATGGTGACATTACACTTCCCTGTCTAAGACCTACTTTTACCGGGAAGTAGTCTCCCTCTCTTCTGCACACCCTAACCTGAGCCTCACTATCCTCATAAAAACTCTTTACAGCATTTAGTAACTTACCACCTATTCCATATACTTGCAACATCTGCGACATTGCTCCCCTATCCACTATCATATGCCTTTTCTAAATCCATGAATGCAATAAAAACTTCCCTACCTTTATCTAAATACTGTTCACATATATGCTTAAATGTAAACACTTGATCTACACATCCCCTACCCACTCTGAAACCTCCTTGTTCATCCACAATCCTACATTCTGTCTTACCTCTAATTCTTTCAATTATAACCCTACCGTACACTTTTCCTGGTATACTCAGTAAACTTATTCCTCTATAATTTTTACAATCTCTTTGTCCCCTTTCCCTTTATATAAAGGGACTATACATGCTCTCCGCCAATCCCTTGGTACCTTCCCCTCTTTCATACATTTATTAAACAAAAGTACCAACCACTCCAACACTATATCCCCCCTGCTTTTAACATTTCTGTCATGATCCCATCAGTTCCAGCTGCTTTACCCCCTTTCATTCTACGTAATGCCTCGTGTACCTCCCCCACACTTACATTCTGCTCTTCTTCACTCCTAAAAGATGGTATACCTCCCTGACCAGTGCATGAAATTACCGCCTCCCTTTCTTCCTCAACATTTAAAAGTTCCTCAAAATATTCTCGCCATCTACCTAATACCTCCCTCTCCCCATCTACTAACTCCCCTAGGTAGTAGGTTGGTAGACAGTAACTGCCCAGGGAGTTACTTAAGTCCTGCCAAGTGATTGTAAAATGAAAGCCTATAATTATTTTATATGATGGTAGGATTGCTGGTGTCTTTTTTCTGTCTCACAACATGGAAGATTTCAGGTACGTCTTGCTACTTCTACTTACACTTACGTCACACTACACATACATATACAAGCATATATATACACACCCCTCTGGGTTTTCTGGTATTTTCTTTCTAGTTCTTGTTCTTGTTTATTTCCTCTTATCTCCATGGGGAAGTGGATCAGAATTCTTCCTCCGTAAGCCATTTGTGTTGTAAGAAGCGACTAAAATGCTGGGAGCAAGGGGCTAGTAACCCCTTCTCCTGTATAAATTACTAAATTTGGAAAAAGGAACTTGTTTTTCTTTTTGGGCCACCCTGCCTCAGTGGGATACGGCTGGTTTGTTGAAAGAAAGAAGATATATAAATTTCCAGTGGTAATGTTTGTTACATTTTTCAGTTCATTTTATTTTCTATCATTTTTACTTAAATATTTCCTAGCATCTTTTGGACATGTTTTTCTTAATTTATATCTGTGGCCTCTTGTTATCGGACCTGAACCTCGCTGTCCTCATAAAAACTCTTAACTGCTTTAAGTTACTTACCACCTATTACATACACTTGCAACATGTACCACATTGCTTCTTGATCCACCGTATCATATGCCTTTTGTAAATCCATAAATGCAGCAAAAACTTCCTTACCTTTATCTAAATATTGTTCACTTGAATGTGTTATTGTAAACACTTGGTCTACACATCCCTTTCTCGTAAAACATTGCACATCTGCAATTCTGCTGTGTCTTACCCATGATTATTTAAAAATGAACTACAATACACTTTACCTGGTATTCTTAACAGGCTTATTTCCCAAAAATTCTAACTCTCTCCTTTATCCCCTTTTTCCTTTATACAAAAGAACTGTGCACATATTGCCAATTTCCTGGTACTTTACCCATTTGTATTTTGAACAAATGCACAAATCACTCCAAAGCTATATCCTTGCCTGCTTTAACATTCTGCTTTGATGCTGTTAATCCTAGCTGCTGTATCCTTTTCATTCTATCTACTTCATTGTGCACCTCCCCCACATTCCTATCCAGCTCTTCTCACTTCTAAAAGATGTTACACCTTTTTTGCCCAGTGCATAACTATCACTGCCTCCCTCTCTTCAACATTTAATAGCTCCTCAAAATAT